CATATCCCCAGGGTCCCTAAGGGCCGGCCATCTTGCGAAACTTCCATCTGAACCCTTTTCCATGTCTGATACTTTGATTTTCCATTCTTGAGGTTATATATCCCCTAAACCTTAAACTTAAACCCCTAAAAACTAAATCTGTAACCCTGGGCCCGGACCCCACATTTTGAGATACCCCCCGTGTGCCAGGAGGTCGGCTTCGAGCTGCCTGATGGGAAAAAGCTACTCAAGGCTGTTCGATGCAGGGATGAGCAGTTTCAGATTTCTGGATTAGGGTTGACGATTGATCAAGGCTATGGGTTGGGGATTACGGTGTAGGCGCCGCTCGGGTGAGACCTGGGGGAGACCTGCTCTCATTCACGACGGGCCTCGCCACCCAAAAATCAGAAGTAGCGTCAGCTGGTCCACAAGTATTCCAGCGGTGCTCCATACAACAGCTGGCGTGAAAGCCTCCATGCGTCAGCACAAGTCTCTGCGTAGTTGTTGAAAGGTCAGCTGCCGAGAGCATTCGAGCTCTGTTCGGAAGTCAAAGCATTGCTTCCAGGACATCGACTTTACGATTGCAGCGGGTCGACGTGTGGCCGCCATGGCCTCATCGTTTTTTCAGCTCGATGTGTCTGTGTGTGTGAGCAGGGTGTTGCATTTGCTTGCTGTCAGTATGTTCAGGGCCTTGTCCCTGGGCATGCCAATGCTGGCTGTACCGACTGCCCCATCGTTGTGTTAAGACAGGGTTTTGTCGCTCGCGTCTTTGCACCGCAGCGTTAGTTCTTGCCTTACATGCCAGCCTCAACAGACATTGGTGCGAATCAATCGATTTAAGTTCTCAATAGTTTTTGTTCAAGCAGGTCATGGGACCATCGGGCAGTGGCAAGTGGCCTCGGCATGTCTGCATGTGCTGGCTGCTGCCAAAGTCAAATTGCCAAACTTTCCTGCAACTGCTGACACCATCTTTGATCGTCGGACTGACTGTAAAGTAAGACGGTTCTAAACAGACGTAGAGCCAAAAGAGGTTTCTGACGGGACGATGTGAATCACTTGTTCCAGAAGTCTTGGCAAGTGCAAGTGCCAGGACAACCTTGCTAGGGGTGCTTAGTGGCCACGCCCTCAGGTTTGCACATGTCATGCAACTTTGCTTTCACTCATGGGGGACTCTGCAGCATGGCAAGCCCCAAGTTTAGGATCGTTTTTGGTCACTTTTCCTAAATGATACACGAGAGTCCTATGGCTCTCTTGTGCTGCTTGTGTGCGAGGGCGTCACCCATCACTTTCCGCTTTTGCAAGTTATATGTATGATAGGTGTAGCACCTTGTAGAGACACCATCCTGATCCCAGGCCGTGCCTCCTACGGGCGCGTCTCTGGGAAGCTGACGGTGGGTGGCAGGCATTGGCTAGATTGCCTGTGGTCCATGCATGTCCACACCTTCTAATCTATCAGTCCAAGTAGAGGAAGGGCATTGCAATGTCATTGAAGTAGTCAAACACAACATTGCTCCCCCCTTTCCGCGGAGCGTGCATCACAAGACTCTAAGCCGCGGAACATGGCTGTAGCAGGTAATGCGCAGAGGAAGCACACAATGCCTCGAAGAGTTCCCTCTGGCGCCCATCGAAGTAGAACCCAAACTCCCGACTTTCGATTCTACACCCCCTCAAGGTGCCTCAACCTTTCCCCAATTAGAAGCTGCTTTCAGGTCTGCTGACGATCTCAGGCCGAAACATCTTGCTGCGTTTTCTATTCACAAGCAGGGCGCAGTGTGTGAACAGAAGTTAATCCGGATAAGACGCGCTATCGGGCCTGGTTCACACTGTTTTGGTATGTTTTGGTCATCGCTTTTGCTCCGCACATCTTGTCAGGTTTCTGCAGCACGTCACTGGCTTCGTGCCACAGGCCTTGGCAGCCTTGGAAGCATGGCGATTTGTCCCGGCCCATTTCTAGGATGACGTCCTCCACGGCGAGCTCACAGTTGCCGAGAACTTGCGATTCCAGGCTTGGCAAATTGCTTTCGGCTGGAAGGGTTTTTGTGGACCCCAACTCATCTGCACCCTGTAGTGCTGGAAGTACGGGTCACGCTCTCCAATGCCGGCCTCCAATCAGCAACGACTCCGCATATCCTTGAGCCTCAAGATTGGGAATGAAGTCTCTTCACCATTATGCGCGCTTATCATGTATGGATGAAATCTGTTTCCTATTACTGTTGCTAACCTGAGCCCACTCCAAGGTCATCAGGGTTGCTTGGCTCATGGCAACAGAAGCATGCTACTTGTACTAAGACAAAACGGGTATGCATAATATGCCTCTGGCCCAAACGTAATGTGCCTCTGGCCCAAATCCACCGTCGTCATCGGTTGCCGCCACCACAAGCATTGTCGCTGAAAGCAGCCCAACCACCATCGACGCCACCACTGCAGCAGCTGTCGCCCATGCCGCCACACTGCCGATTCAAGGGAAACAGCATCAGCTGAGTGAATGCAGACTATGCGGACTTGTAGAGCACAGTTGTGACTCATGCTGCGTTGCCCAGCGCACTGCTAGCATGACTGTTTCATGGTCGGATTTCAGATTGCAGGCTTCTTTGAGGCTCCCGGCAGGGCGCACGCGCGAGGAGGCGCTGAGCTGCAGAGACATTCCCACAGCTCGAAAGGAATCATGAATGCAGGGTGAACTGTACTAAGTTATGAGCTGCATGAACTATTGTGGTCATATGTCATGAATGACATTACATGTTCGGGAAGATTGGGCGTGCCATTCGGGCCTAGTATGTAGTATAAGCCAGGGAACCCTAAGTCGCCATAAGTCTTACTAAACTCCACTTTTAGACCTACCGAGCTGCTACATAGCATGTGGCAGTCTCAAGCTGTCCCGTCCCCAAAAGTCAGCCAGCTTTCGTAGAAAGCACCATGGCTACTGACATGGTACCCAGTACCGTCATCATCAGGTGGATGCCTGTGTGACAGCTGTGCTGCGCTTAGCACAAATCTGGTCTTCAACGCCTCCACCTGCTGATCAGGGGCCCACTGCCTGCAGCATTTGCGCGAAGATGTCTGGTGAACCGATCCAGGTCGCGAAGGATCTGAACCTTAGCAGCCTCTTAGACGTCAAGAGCTCGGCACGCCGGTACTTACAAGGGATAACTAGGGAATAAGGGAGCCTATTATACGGGGGTTACGTTCCTTCATTCCCTACTAACCACCAGTCAGGGTATGCAGGTCGAGCTCCAGGAATTTGCAGATCTTTTTGGAGTTGGCTGTAGTAGCAACGCATTGACTGAGGCGAGGGTGGGCACCCCTGAGAGACGTGGAGTGTCTGGGGGGCAGAGGCCTTTCAAAGTCATGACGTGACGATGTAAAATGACTTGTGCCTGTTTCGTTTGTAGATCCTTGCAGAACGGGCTGCCCACAAGCCTTTGCTGTCAGAAGTTGGCATTGAAGAATGAAACTGCCGACCCTGCTCCAGGAAACGGGTCTCAATTGTGCCCTCCTCAGGAAGCAGAGTCCCAGTGCAAAAAACCTACATATCCCAAGAAACTAGGTCAAGCTGGCCTTGCTGAGTCCTTGACACAGCGCAGTATCCCAAAATGGTTCCAACAAGTCCTGCGCGGCCCTGCGAAAGTCCCTAGGACAACTTGCTTGAGAAAACCCCATAGCAGCCATAGCAGCTATGCCATGCCAAGAAGAGGGTTCAACTGCTTACTGAGGGCATGGAGCTAGTTGCGCAGCCCCTCCTCCTCTTCGCAGACGAGCCAACCAGTGGGCTGGACAGTACCACTAGCCACGAGGCCCATCGCCATATGAACCATAGTCTAAACTCCTTGAAGGTGTTTTCTGGGGGATGCACAGGGGGCTATTATCTGGCCCATGTATGCCAGCAAGCAAGGTCAAGCAAGTAAGCATTAGCATCAGCATTCTCAAAGGGTTTTGCACGGATTTTTTAGCAGAGTTGGACGGACATTGATTGACAAGGTTGTTCGTTGCCTTAATGGCGCTGCTGCCAGGGCCCTATCAGATCAAGCAAATGGCAGATGCCTCATTGACAGCGAGAAATGCCAAGAATGGCTACATACCGGTTAATGCAACTTGAAAACTTTGGTCAAAATTGGCACATCCCAGAAAACAAGGCGTCGCTTGATGCAGGATATGTGCAACGACGCCCAGAAATGTTCATCACGATCCTCACGAATGCTGTGACCACTGAGGCAAGGCTCAATTCCACGGCAGGGGCCTTGGTCACACCATCCAGTCGCAGAGCTCCAAGGTTCCACCAGGACTTGCAAACAGCAAATGAAATCCTGCTGCCCATCATGGCCAGCATGCCTCCGGCTCTTGGTAGCTGAGGGCATTTGACATGAGGTTGTTGCTGTGATCCATCAGCCACGCTACGAGACTCTGCGGCTGTTCGACGACCTCGTGCTGTGCGAAGCCAAGTCCGCAAATAGGACCATCAAGCCAGCAATGCTTTTTCCTTGCTGCAGGACAGCAAACGATGTAGATGATAGGCATGTGTAAAAGCAGCTGCCGCAGCAGCAAGTAGCCCAAGAAGCAAACACAAAAGTGTAGGCTGACTTGATCCACACAGCAGCCCTGCCCGGAAGCCCAGCTACACTCCAAACATAGATGCCAGGCTGGCGTATGGTGGTTGCTTGGTTTATGCTGGGCCAACAGAGGCCTGGCCAGCTTCAGAATTCATCAAACGCAAAAAGTTAGTTCACTGGCTGCCAGGCTGCAGTGGAGCACTTCAAGACACGCTTGCACGCGGACCTGTCCCGATTTCGTGTTCGCCGCAGCAGCAAACTCCAGCGGCACAATTATCCAGACCGCCGGATGACTGCAGTTTCTGGCATAGCCTTGAACCATCTTGACCTTGGACCAGTGAGCCACACTCCATGAAGCCTCCACCATGACGACGAAGGCTGCATCGAGGTAGTGCAGTGTAGCCAGGTGACGTTCACGCAGAACACCAACCCGGCAGACATTCTGCCTGGCGCCAAGCTACGCGTAGAGACATGGTCACCTGCGCATTCATGGCAAAACGGCTGACACGCTGTCAGGGCATAGTGCTCCAAAGCTGCAGGGCTGTTGCCAGCTGATTTTTGGAGTGTGCGAGGCTGGATGCAATCCAGCCACCGAACGCTGACCCTGAGGCCGGCTGAGCAATAAAGTCAGCCACATGGCATCGACAACCACAGCAAAACCTTGTAGGTTCTGTTGTGTGCAAGCGTGGGTCCCTAAAGCTGTGTAGCATAGGATAGCACAGACGATTTATGGTTTCTGGAGGTCTGCGCCAGCGCCTGGAAGTCCTGCGCAGCCCTGCAGGAGACGGGCAAAGCTTTATGGCGCTCATGCTCTCAGTGTTGTGCGGTGTTGCTCCTGTTTCGAACAGTATGGCAAATTGACTCAACATTGCAAGAAAGCAGCCAGCATCTAGACTGAGCCCAGTCCATAAAGGTCAGAACTACAAAAGGAGGGCATGGACCATGACATCTTGGAACAGGAGAAGCCAGAGCAGACAATCCTGCCAGCGAGTGTGTTCCGTCGCACCCGGCAGCCTTTCTTCCGTGCAGCTGGAGCCTGAGCAAGTTATGCCTTGGATTTGGGCGGGCGCACATCCGAACATAAAGTGCAAACTTGTCCTTGACATGCTGATGGTCAACGGATGTGACTTCGCTGATGGGTAAATGCAGGTCCTCATTTACATGGACCGGTCCATGCTGCAAACGATCAGGGCGCGGGACTCTCAGAACTGCCTTCCCTGGAAGTCATTCCGCCAGCCGTGCCTACAAAAGCTCGGTGCAGCTCATTCATCGCGCTACCTCGAGTCTAAACGTACTGGAGCAAACACGTGCCTAGATGTGCCAAGCAGCAATGTAAGCAGTGGCACAGGGTAGAGGCAGGGTAGGGGCCAAAGCAATCGCAGCTTCGGTTCTGCTCGTTGAACGCTCTGAGGTACATGTCCTTGGCCATCAACTACACCCTGTGTTGCGTGGCAGTGCTGCTCCTGTGCATGATCCTGAATTACGACCGGCTGGACAGCCAGAGAATCATGCAGACGCACTGTACTTGAAAACAGAAGCTCCATGCAGCCGTTCTCGGTCAGTGGTCATGCATGCGGCCCTGCAAGAAGTACTTGTAGTACCAACATGCTGAATATTTGGTGACAGCTGCAGAGTATTTGTTGGGATATGTTGGGATTGTCGTGTTGGCCAGCATGCTGTTTTGAATTCTTTGCAACCAGGACCAGTTCTTCATGCAATCAGCGCTAGCCGCCCTCTTTCTCATGCTGCTGCAGGCATGGCTCTGGCTGGCGTTTAAGCAGAATGCCGCACAGACCGCTCACAGACTCGCAGAACAATAACGACATCAAAAAAGAGCATCTTACATGCCGGAGATCATCATGATAAGTGCTTGAGACGCTCTAGTGACAGCACGGGTGCCAGTGAGAAGGTGTGCAAGCAGTACCAACGCAGCTTGCAGACATTGTGCCAGCTTTGCTGCAAGACGTCCACTTAGACTTTACCCAATCAGGGTGCTTCTCAAAACAGTCCCTGTGCATTAAATAATTCCTATTGGGACCTCCATTGCCACCTGATAATCCCCGTCTACCCAAGCAGAGTCATCAGCTAAACTGGCAGTTACCATTTCTGTAAAAATGTTCTGCCACCACACCAGCGGAAGGGAGTCGCTGCACAGCAGGTCTTCGGTCCGGGGCCCCAGATTTTGAGTTGTCTTAAGATTAGGGGCTGTGGAAAACCTCAGAAATGTTGGAGAGTGTACGAGGTTCATGGGCGTCCCCGCTAAGGATTGAAAAAATGTTGTTTTGAGAAGTTCCCATTGTGCAGCTCACAGAAGTGCGGAAGGTTCGATATGACATCATGAGTACGTAATGTAGGTTGGAGCAGGGCTCTCCGATTCAGGCTTTTGAAGGTTGTTAGACACCACTCACTCTTTGGTGCGAATGAAGTTGTTGAAAGCAGGAAGTCTAAGTCGAAAGAGCATCGAACCTTTCTCCCAAAGATCAGCAAGCCTTTCCCATGCAGGGGCCGATTTGCTCACCACTTGGCGGGAAGCCAGGGTCGGCGTCTGAGGGAGAGGGAGCAAGTAGAAGTCTGAATGGCTCTGAGGTGAGTGTGCTAAAACTAGTGCGCAGTTCCCCCCAGGAAAGAGCTTGATAGTCCTCATCAGCAACCCCAAAAACTTGAGCAGGGACCCAACAATTTTGGCACATGCCCCAGATGTTTACATGCTGCGTAGATTGGCGTACAGTGTCAACACTGTCATTTTGAGTTTGAAGCCTCTAGCCAGGGATATATCCGGACGTTCCAGGCTGGGAGGCTCTTTCCTTCTTTTAAGTGCTGTGCTTAACTATGTAGAACAGGCTTCTAGAGACTGCAAGAAAGCAAGGCAAGCTGTTCTGTGCTTTTGTTCAGAGGGTCCCAGTTGTTAAGCAACATGAGGTCGGGATGCCTATGGTCGCATATTTTGTGGCCAAAGATTTGACAGCCTGCGTCGAGGCAGGCTGAGACAAAGAAAGATGTCGAAAGCGTGTGCAAGGGAAATGCACCAAGCATTCTGAAGTGCTTAGCATTCCAGGACGAAAACTATTTCCCAGCCGGTCTGCTTGCAGATCCCTCCAGCAGGTCACGCTGTCGTCCGCAGTCTTCGCTGCCGCTTACGGCTATGCGAGCGGCAGCCAGATCTCCTTGCCTTTGCCTTGGAAGATTGATGTCCAGCCGCTTGCTGGCCAGGGCAGCACATTGTAAATCATGGTAACAAAAGTAATAGCAATAGCAATATTAACCTGATTGATAGTACTATTATTCACACCCACTAGAAGTGCGTATGCTTCGTGGACCAGCGGAGGATGAACCATTTGTGTAACCACCAGGTGCCAGCTCTTCGCAGGATCCTGGGCATTTGTGTTTGCTGCCTGGGCCCCATTCTTCGAATCCTCGAAGTCCTGCTCCTAGGCTTCTTTGCAAATCCATCGTACTGCGCAGTCACAGGTCTTCGGCCTGAACTACATTTTCAGCATCATCCTTTCACCAGGTGCGGAGGTATGGAGAGCTGGGGTGGGTAGGTAGAGGGAGTGATTGCAAGGTGCTGCGCAGATGAGCGCAGTTGTCACGTCGTTCCTCTCCTTTTGCACCGCGGGCGTCTACCAGCCGCAAGCTCAGTACTGAAATGCCCCGAGTTACGAGGTGCCACAGCCCATCCAAACTGTTCCCAAGTGACAAAGGGTGTTAGCTTTCGTGCAGCTTTGCTGCTGCATACAGAGTCAGTCTGTACACTTCGCTGCATCAGCCATGTGTTCTTTAAGTATGCGAGGCCACAGCTGAACGAGATGGCCGGCATGTTCAACGGACGAGGCCATGGGTGCCTCAAACAAGGAGTTGCGCGTGCCTTCAGGCAGCCGCACGAAATTGATGGCAGCGCAGTTAGGCAATCATGGTACAAGGAATCTACAACGCATTCCCTGGAGGGTATTCCTTGATAGCCTACCAACTTTCAGCGCTGCCTGATGTACACGTTGCTGCATGTTTTCCGTGACAGGTTGGATGGTGCCTGCTTTGAGTCCCGTTCGATGGCTCTGGGGGTATCTCCTCACAGCTGAGGCACCAGCAGCAAACATTCAACGAAGAAGCGTTCTGCTATTGATGGAGCCGTTCTGGACTTGCAATCATCAGCTCACGACAGCTCCACTGCACGGGCACATCCCCCAGCTTCATCCTGTGGCCCAATCATCAAGGAAGCATGTTCTTAGGTGACACCCAACTTTCCATTTGATGCTCCATTTTAATCTCCACTATCCTAAACCCTAAAGCCAAAGTAAAGAGGCCTTGTCCAGGCATCCTCTAGCCTCACTGCCGAAGGTTCCCAACTTGACGCCGCTTACGTTGAAAGGAGCAGCGGGGCAGCTGGCTAGCAAGGCCTGTTATTTCAGGGTTTAGGGATGTCGTGTTTGCATCTCACGGATACCCATGCAGTATGGTGCTTGGGCAGTGATGGGCAGTGTACTTCTGTCTGCATGGGCTTGCCGCGCAAGAGATGAGACATCCTCTGGTGCTCCATGAGGGCTACAATGTCGACTACGTGTACGACTGCAAGAACTCGATGGTCGGCGTCCAGGACAGACCGAGCTCGATTCGAACTAGCCGCCCCGCAAAATTGAATGCATGTGCACGAACAAATGGAAGCTCCTGCATCTACTTGTACGACATGTACAGTGGCATACAGGCATTGTGGTCCTCGAAACCTATGGGAGGACCAATCAGTCAGAACTCTCCAAGAGGCTTGGCCGTTAAGGTAAAGCCTTGAGTCTACCTTCTGCACAGGATTTTTCTTAAGCTTGACATGGCGCGCTCCGGGTTAGCAAATTTTGTTCCGTATACTTTGCAATTGGCTGAGAATGCTCGGCGACCTGGAAGTTTTGCGAATGAAGCTGCGCCCCCTAAGTCCTGATGGTGGCCATGTGGTCCTGAAGGCTTGGCTCGACGACAGAGGTTGGGTCTGTTCTGCCAGTGGCTTAGCATGGCAGAAAGCCGCAGCAACAGCAAGACGAGGCCATGTACCATGATTTCGGCAAACTGCCTTGGAAGCCAATGCCTGCACGCGCAGTGATGTTTTTTTTTGTTTTTTTAAATGCGAGGGCATGTTCAGCGTTGACAATGGTGAGATTAGCAGTACTGGTAGTAATAATTGTTCCTTCCATCGCGATTGCAAGAAGTCTCCGTGTTTCAAGCGTGCTGGTGCCTTTGAGATAAGAAGCTTCACAACTATGAAAAAGCACGGCATCAGTTCTGACACTGCCCGCCAAGACTGCGCCGCTGCTGCTCCTGGGGATTCTCTTCCGCTTCCTTGCAGGCGGATCATTTACAGGGAGGAACCGCTCTCAAACAGGTTGCTTAGGTGCGGCTGGCATGCAGCTGCTGAAACTAAGCACGGGCGCAAGGGGTGAAAAAATGAAACTCAAACCATCTCAAAACGCTCAACTCAAGAATGGTCTCCCAAATTCCAAGAACACGACACCCTGTCCCTTGACCTCATGGGACTCTCAGAACACGCCTGTATGCACTTGGAGAAGTCCGCATTGGACGACAAGTACAGCTCTTATCCATGGACTCTGCTCATGTAGCAGGCTTCATGGAAACAGAAGTGTTCAACATAGATGTTGGGCCCTGCAGGATGTTGCTTGTTGCTGTACGTCAGTGCACAGACAAGTGGCTGGGCGCGCTTCTTTGGACAGCATGGACCCGAGTTGCTTGCGAAGCTATCCAAGGTAGAGAGGAAAAGCCCGGCAGACAAGTCATGACAAGCCTTTGTGGTGCGCAGGAATTATGGGACTGACATGTTCATGTCATCATATAGGGCTGGCTTGGTCACAGCAGGCAGTCTCAGGTCAGAGTTGGGTGCATGGAAGTTGGCCGGCCACTTCTTCAAGCTTCTAGTAGGCCTGGTCTCAGCGCTCCAGGGATTACAGCTGTGTTGATTACACACATCAGCCGATGGTGAAGCCAAGACTCTGATAGTAGACCTTGATGTACCTTAGGTTTCTGAAGAGACACATGGCACCGCCCGTTGCGCACTTACGCGCAGGTTCATTCCTGATTATCTTCCTCTTTGCTGAGGCTCGGCTTTTGTTGCCTCATGCAGCTACCTTGTTGCTATACCTGGAAACGCGTGCCCAACATATGACGCGAGTGCGATTGAGAGATGTTGGCCAGCCATCCAATTTGCCACCAGCAGCTGGTTGCAAGCATTCTTGTCAGTCATGGCGTCTACACTCCAGCAACTTGTAGTCTGAAGCAAAACTATGGTGCAGGTACTCCCAGGTCCTGCAGCCATTCCTAGCACATGTACATGTTCAGCAGTTGTTCAGGGACTCGTCATGTCGCCTGCACAGTGGCCAAGGTAAAAGCTATGATATGTTAAGTGGGCCCTTACTTGCACCTGCTTAACCCCAATCCTACCTTTCAGCAGCGGAACTCACTTTCACTGAATGCGAGCCGCCATGCCAGCCAGGTTTGGATCTTCGGAAGCCTTCATTTGGAACTGCATCTGAAGGCCTGGAGCTCCTGTCATAAAAACTCTTGTCCGTAGAAAATGCTCGTGAGCCTCATGCCTACTCATGCCTAGCACGACAATGCTGGCAATCTGGCTTGATATGTGCATTCAACAAGAGAGTCTTCAAGCGGAACATAGTCTTTCCGCACCTTTCTGCACCAAGCCACCGGACGCCAGCTCCGAGGTTGGACACTACGGTCAGCAAGCCTGGCAGAGCGAAGAATACGGTCTCATCTATGCATGACGAGACGCAAAATGCGAGTGTCCAGACTGGGAGCCTGTCTTGTGGGGGAGGGACGTTGCGGGCATAGCCTATGCGGCAAAATTTGTAATTCACTTGTGCTATGCGTGAGAAGAATCTAGTGACACAATCGACCTCTCAAGAAATGTCAATGGAATTTCCACATGCATAGCTGCACCTTACTTCACAAGTAATTGTTGTTCACGATGTACCTGCTCTGGTATTGAGAAGGCCAGACTACCGCTCCATCGGACTCCATTCTTTCCTTGCGCGCAGTCAATCACGGCCCGAACAGGTCCCTGGCGAGGTCCTCGAGTTGTCACGCATGATCGATCGCGTGCAATAGATCTCGCATCAGTGGGACGCCGCGTACGGTGCTGGCGAGCAAACGGTGGGCGCTCATTCATGGTAGCAAGGCTCGGTTCTTGCTGCCAAATAATTTCTCGGGCATGCCAAGGTCCTACTGTAGCCACCCTTTGGCGCGTGCTTGCCATCCACTCCAAACGTTCTCGACCAACCTCTAGACCTGCCAGATATCGCGTGAAGCGTTACCAGATAAGCCATCTATGTTTATCTGTCTTCCCCAGTGAAACTAAGCTTCTCTCCTTGGAATGAAGAAGACAAACCAAACAAACTGCCAACTTCCCAAAGTCTCAAGAGCAAACTCTGGAAAGAGATGCCAGGGGATGAATGAATTCCAAATGTGTGTGAGTACATGCATTGGGGTTGTCCGAAAGCTCGTGTGGAGATCGCGATGATATTCGCGAAAAGAATTTTGGATGAACCCCGCATGCATAGTGATTTAGATATTCATATTTTTTATATTGGGCACTTGAAATATTCTAGTAATCTTGATAAATTGGATTTCGATAGATTTGAATTCGTAATAAAGATATTCATTCTGTCGGCCATTAATTTCATTTTGCGGGGAAATAGCTGGGAGATAATAAAATTTCGCCTTCTAAATTAATCTAAATGAAATAATGACGAACATAATTCTTTGGGATTTTTTTTGTCTTTAGTTGATTCTCATTATTTTAAAGATCGTTCTTACTTCATAAAAAGATATATATTAATTTTCAAGGAATTAAATACGGAGATAAAGATTATCTTAATAATCGAAAGAAAGAAAGAAAAATAGAACTATAGATAATTAGAATAATGAATCAAGAAAAAAGGAATTATTAATTAGATTGATATTCAGGAGAATAGGATATAATGATCTATAATTATTTTAATACCACGAGTAATAATATATATATATTGATAGAGAAGTAAATTCGAATCTAATGAGAGAAAAATTAATGGAGAGATAAATTTCAAGAAAGATATAGAGCTCGAATAGATTCTTAATCTTCATAGAAAATTGTCGCTTGATAAATTCATTCTATTCGGAAATGAATGGAAGATATCAAAGATTCGATAGCTAAATTAATTTGATCGATTCTTTTTATTAATATCTAGGCGCTAAGAATAGGCAGAGATAAAATCTAGGGATATGAATAGAATCTTAATAAAATGATAGGGACCCCCTGATAGCAATGCGTATAACGCTTGCAAAATATGATTTCCTAAAACGATTTTTAGTTTAATCATTTATCTAATAATTTAGATAGCTGCTCATATATATGAAATAATGATAGATTTCTTAAATTATAAATCATTCTTTCTTTTATTTCGTTCTAAATATTTTCATTATATCATATTATCTTCTAGATATCTCTGTATTTGAAATTCGTATTCTTATCTCTATGAAAAGATAGGAATAGGAATTTCAGAGAAATAGATATAGAGATAAAGATTATCTTGATAATCGAAATATAAATCTATAGAAAAATATATAAATAGATAAATTGAATTATAGATAATTAGAGGAATGAATTAAGAGAGAAGGAATATATCTATTGATTGATATCTAGGAGAATAGATTATCAAAAATAGATGAAGATGAATAGAGATAAATAAAGATGAATATATCTTTATATGAAAAATGGATATATAGAAATTACAAATAATAAAGGAGAATAGAATTCAGATAGAATAAGATAGAAAAAAATCGATAGATAGAAAGATAGATAGGGAGATCTTTCGTATATTCATCTTTATAGAAATTCGTTGCTTGATAATTTTGGATTAATACGATTTTCAGATATTTATCAAAATTTCGGGTCCGAATATTTTCAATTTTTCGTAGAATTTTATAGATGAATCGGATTATCTTCTTCTAAGAGATTCGCCGTAATATTTAGAAGAAGAAAATGATTATCTAGATATGAATAAAGAAAAATTGGAAGAGAATAGAAATAATCAAAATAAGATAAATAAGATGATAAATAAATATAATATAGATAAATGAAAATTATTAGATCTAGATATATTCAAAATGATCGGATAGGGAGATTAGAAAGATTAATGAAATGAGAAAGAGAAGTAAGGAGAAAGAGAAAGAAATCGGAAAGAGATAAATCTAGAAATATAATGAATAAAATAGATATATAGAAATGAATCTCAAATAGATGAAGTTAAGAGAGATAGAAAAAAAATAGATAGATTATGAAATAGAAATCTATAGATATTTATTCAAAAATAGATAACTAAAGAGAAATATATATAGATAGATAGAGAATGATAGGGAAATAGAAATAGATAGATAATATAATGAGAGAATTAAGGATATAAATGAATAGATATATATATATAAAGATAATTGATAGATAGATAAATAGAGGTCGATATATATATAGAGAGATAGATAGATAGGTCTGAAATCTTGGCATTCATAAGATTATTCCTATCAAATATTCTAGAATTAATATGATCTATGATATGGATCCGAAATTCTTAAATAAAAGAAGAATTTTCGAGCTCTGCGAATTCTTGAAAATCTATGATTATTTTAGTATAAAATATCAATATATTCTTAGAATTATTAGGATTAATGAATCTAGATCAACGATCGATATCTAAGAAAAAGATTATCTTATCTGGAAGATCTTATATTAAAATCAAAATATATTCTAATTTATATCTTTTTGAAAGAAATTGGAGGATAATCGTCATATGCATCGATAATAAATCTAAATATCAAATAGAAAATATGAAAATGATAATATATCATATGATTAGAGAAATAGAGAATAGATTAATATAATCTATTTGAAGATATCTATTTATATATGAAATATGAAATATTTATCTTCTTCGTAAATATTATTGAGTAGAATAATTCTATATTTTTATTTGATCATCAATATCTAAATATATCATTCCTATGAATATGAAATTATCGTTATTATAATTTCTTCTCAGAATATATTTTTATAGATTATCTTTCTATATATTAATTATAATGATTATTTCTTTTTCTTATATTGACGATCTATTACGATATCGATTAGATTTTCTAATAGATGAGAAAATTCGATAAATAATGAAATTTTCATCGATTTCTATAAATTTCTCATATTAGCTAATTGAAATGGGATCTCTTTTCATTATATTTATAGAAAAGACGAATAAGATGAATTTATTAATGAAGATATTTCTCATATAAATATCTTGAAGATGAAAAAAGATATGAATTTTCAAATATATTTATATCCTCATATATATGCTAATCTGAAAATTCTATAGGGATATCGCCTCTATCTCTATTCGGATCTTCTCTTTTTTTTATATTCTCCTACTATCTATGAAAATAAATTGATATGATCAAATATATAGAAGAGCTTCTGAATCTCTTGAGGAATGACGAATAGAAATTCAAAATATGACGCATTCATTCGTGGTCGTTTCGTTCGCGCGCGACCTAGCTTTTCTCCTTCCCCTTTAAAATATTTCCTGCGGGCTCCGAGTCCTTCGGAAAAATAGGATGATATATAATCTCTACGATTTTCGGAATGGACGATGCGATGAAAAATCTCGGAGATCTTTGATCGTGCGGCCCTTATCTCCGCAATAGTTGTCTGCATACTTTATCTCTCTTTGCTTATCTGCGCACTTAATCGGATGAACGTATAAATCCGAATCAGAAATCCAAAAATTCATAGAATTTATAAATTGATCGTAATTAATTAAAGAAAAATATACGCTCTTCGAATCGATTTCGATTCATTCCTCTTATTTAGGGCATCTACGTATCGGCGTACCGGAACGTATTCTCCCGAGATGGAGATATCTATATAACGATCTCATAGATGATTTATCTCGAGTTATCTATCATTTCGATTAATCGCGAGAGGATATAAATCCGAGATAGAAAATCAATATCTTTCAGAGATTATATAATAATTACGTCTATCTATAGATTGTTCTTGTTCTCCTGATTCGTCGCGCAAATAGTCCAAGAGAGATAGATAATATCGAAAGCTTCGCAATCTCTATAGAGGAATATATGATCAAAAGGCTCGTAGAATTTAGATTTATAATTAATTCTTCAAATATCTTCATAATAATCTTTCATCTCATATTTGAATATTCATCAGCTTTCCCATACGAATTTATATAATATCTATTCATCAAATTCATTATAAATATTCTCAAATAAATATAGTTGAATTACGATCAAATTAGAAATTATATGGAAAATAATTTCCAAATATCATATTAAGAGAATGAGATGATATAAATATATATATATCAAAAATGAAATAGAAGAGGAAGAAAACGATTAAAGAAAAAGAAATGACGAGAGAATCAAATAATATTAGAGCGGATTCGTTATTTCCAGCAGCGGAATCTCGTCATTGGAGCGGACGCG